GGGGAAGTTGCCTCCTGCCACGGAAGTAGGTACTACAGTAAGTAGTAGCCATTTTTTCATGTACCTCCAAATATGTGTTATGTTAGCTGCGCGAACTGCAGCAGCACGCCTGGCTCTAAACTAAGCATGGCAAGCTGGAGGAGTCTGAGAATCTTTCAAGAAATCTTCCAATTTTGGGGGACTGAGGGGGAAAGTAAAACAGCCCTTATGTATGCACTTCCCACTTTTCTCCCATGGTATCACAATACAAGCAACTGAGAAAAAACATACAATGAACTGAAAAAAGTTTTATCAACTAAACAGTAGTATTTTCTTAAATAGCCATTCAAAAATTGCATAAAAGCATGTAAGGAGATTGATTACTATAATCAAACAGCAATCCATTGACTATTACTCTTGTCCAGCCCAACTTTTGTGGTCCTCAAGAACACAAAGGCTAAAGGATTTTACCCAAAGCAAACTAAAAGACAATGCAAGGTATCTAAGGATTCTGAACTTCAAAATATCTTGAAAAATTTTAAGTAAAGCCCTGCTGCTGAGGGGTTGAACACTGTTCTCATAAACAGCAGAAGCACTAAAGCTTGATTTACTTGGATTTGTACCCTAGTCCTGTCTTTAAATTATACACTACTGCATCACCCTACCTCGAAGACCTGTTCTGTCTTTGCCATAACCTCCCACATTTCCCTAGTCTATCTTTAAGTGTCTTCAGCTCTTTCCATTTCCTTTTCTTAATTACCAAACTAAACAGCACTTTCCTTTCCTTTCTGTCAACAGGGAGAAACTATAAGGTTTCTCTTCTGCCTGTAAACTGATATACTTTCCATCAGCAAAGAACAAACATGCCCAAAAAACTTGTTTCCTAAACAAACAAAAGACTAAGAACCAACTGTTGCTATAAACGAATATTAAAACCTTAAAAAACAGGACTAGTATTTTATTAGAAGTTCACTGCTTATTTTCCACTTTTAACATGACCCCTGTGGTATCTGGAGTCCTGACACCTTAAAAAACATATTCCACTTACACAATTTGAAGATGATACTCAGATATGCGTATGTATTTTTAAAGGTTAAGACACTACTTTTACTTTTCTTTTCTTATGACAGATACATGCAGAACTGTAAAATTTCATGTTTTAAAATACTGATATTTAATGAGCTCCACATGTTTGAAATAATTGGTAAATATGGAAGTACTGAAAACCAAACATGAGAATAATACATTTAGTGGGTTTTATATGTCTGAAATCTGGCATATCAGAATAACTGACAAAGTACAGTAATTAAGAAAAAGCTAGATACGGATAAAAGCAGTTACATGCCTTGTTGACCTTCTATTCCTAAACCATTTGGATTTTGCCATCTTACCAATTTACAGTACTCTTTTCATCATATGTAACTAAATGAACCTACAAAATGAGTGAAAAATGTAACTTCAGGATTCTATGCTGCCCCTAAACTGACAAAGTCAGGGTGTTTGTTCATTTGATAAATTTAACTATGCCTTTGTGTATGTAGTACCAGAAGCCTAGGAATCTTCATGTTAGCCCCACTTGTGAAATCCACAGTGTTCTCCAACTGCTTCTGACTGACACCCACAAGCTGATACTATTTCCACTTTACCAGATACATTTCCCCATGCTTGTGGGAAGTACATCATACTGTTTGCAATTCCTAACCCTAAAAAAGCAAGCATGAAATAAAATCTGCCTTCTAAGCTACAGAGAAAAATAAAATAACATTATCACATTGCTGACCGGGGAGAGAACATGTACAGAGCCCCAAACTGTCTGGTTCACCAATTTTTTTTTTTTATTGGTGTGTTTCAAAAGAATTAGCTACCTAAATTTTGACTGAAGGAACTATGTTTCTTCAGCTTCTCCATAACTAAGAGACTAAGCAAGTCACTTGAAAGAACAGTTTTTCAATCACATACTAGTCTTTCTGTATCAAATGTAGAGTTTTTTTACAAATGAAAATCCAAAATCTAAAAATAATCTCAACAGATAAATCTCTATGGGAGCATATAGAGAAGACAAAATTTTGTACTTTCAGAGCAACTACTGAGCCCGCTTGAGCAAAAAAGTATTTTACATCTGTCAGCCTGCCTTAGTAGCCAATATCTTTATCAAGCAAAACACAACATTGTCCAAAGGTAGGACTCATTACTTCTATCATTGTAACATTTCATATAAAGAAATAATGAAGGTTTGAAGGTCAAATATAAACCACATAAACAACATGCATATATCCAGAAGTCCAGCTCATTCATCCAGGAAAAGACAATAAAATCTAGTGAATGACAGCCTGGCTCAAAGCTCTCTGAAGTAAACTGAACACACCTATAGATGAGAGCAAACCTCTAAACAAGTCTTCCATAGGAGAGCCACTCTACTTTAGGACATCTCTTACACATATTTTATCAAAGGCAGGAGAAAGCAAATATACCCTGAAGTCAAATAACCTAATTGATCCAGATACTCTTCTTTCTTTGCAGGTACTTAAAAAAATACCAGTAATTCTGCATTGCATATTAATGTGTTTAAAAGCACTCTATAAACAGCCCTCAATATAAGATACACTCATACACTTGCAAGTGTAGAATTTTCCTCTGTCTACATGTAGAAGAGCTGAAACAGAAGAGCTCAGCATGCAAACCCTTCCTGGAATACATTAAAATGAGCTACTCAACTTCTTCACAACCCTCAGCACTGCAACAGCTTTGCTAGTATTTCGTATGCATTATGGCATCACTGAAGTATCCCACTGATGTGCTCTTCCAGTGCCATCTGCTGTACAGCAAATTTAGACAGTCTAACTAGAGATACCTCTAGAAATTCTGCTGACAGGTACTTGCAACTATAAACAGACTCTGAACTATGCCAATGTACTCCCAAAGCCTGGTGGCTATGTACGCAGAAACACCTGGAACACACAGATTGAAAACGGGAGATAAATCAGACCCAGAAAGAGAATGAGACGTTAACACGCAGAATAAAGAGTCAGATTGAAATTCTGACTTACGAAATTTGAACACAAATTCTGCATCTTGGAATCTTTAAAATTACGCAGGTTGACAAAACAAAGGCCACCTGACAAAAATTACCTGGACTACCAGATTACTACCCAGCAAACCCCATGGTCCCCTTTGTGCTTATAAAAAATAATCAAAACTAAATTTATGTGCCTCATTTTGAAGTGAAGAGCAACATGTATTAATCACATACAAATGTGAAATTATTAGTGAAGAGATTTAAAGGTGAAACTTTATAGGCTGCTTCTCAGAAATCTGAAGAGCAGGTCACACAATCATATATTAATTGTTATTATGGTGGCCAGCATAGATTTATGAAAAACTATGAAAGCTTAAAAAAAAAGGTTTGTGCAAATTTAGTTTGAATATTCAACACTTCAGAGTAGTTTCAGTTTGATCCTAGAAAATGGTTTCAATGGACTATAATCGCATAGCTATCTCAATGCAGTGTTAGCAAAAGTACACCAACAAAAAGTTTGATTATTTATATTGATATGGCCGTTATTGGTTTCCTATCTTTTTTCACACTTTTAGGTTGGGTGCACTCTTTTCCAGAGACAAATACTATAGTCAATGTTGCCAGAATACACTACTTCAGAAATAGAACAGCATTAACTTTTAAGAGTTGGGACAGAAACCATCATACTGGAAACACAGAGCAAAATACAAGTCATGGTTGAACGAAGAATTGGCTTTTAAAAATTTTTAATAAAAATACCATCACAAAAATAGCTTGGAACTATTAATCAATGCTGCTTCAGATAACTTGGACTTTCCTAAAATAAATGTTAACCTGCTCATTTATTTCCACCAAGTGAAACAGTGGAGCATTAAACTTGATTTTTTTTTAGCCCATAGCCACATTATTCCCGAGAAGTCTG